GGGCTATCGATCTTATAAAATGCATCAAGATTGCCTTATACCAGAGAGAACATATAAAAAAAAGATGTGAGGAACTTCTTCTCTAGTGTACAAAGAGATTGAGCCAGGAGGGAAGGGGATTTTTACCATTTATGCCTGCCTTGCACCCACACAAATACTGTGGACCAGTTCTCACCCACTTGCTCATAACTGCCCTAACCTTGCAATAAGGAAGGTGGGTGAGGAATGCAGGCAGGAGGGTGGTTAAGGTAGGAAGCATCACTGGCCTTCTAAATCTGTATTATAAAATACAAGAAACGTGTTCACTTTTTCAGTAGTTACTTCAAAAAAAAAAGTGTTTCACTTTGAACTGTTGGAATCTTTTTTACAGACACAGATTCCTTCGACTGTGACCTTGAGGTTAGTACAGAGTTCCTTTTGCATCTCACTTATTAACTAGCTGTGTGATCTCAAGGAATTCAGACAAAGGCTCCAGATTGTATTTTTTTTTTTCAAAAATTTGTTTTTCTATTGGAAAGTCAGATCTATAGAGAGAAGGAGGTATAGAGAAAACTACTGCTTCACTCCCCAAGTGGCCACAATGACTAGAGCTGAGCAGATCTGAAATTAGAAGCTTCTTCTGGGTCTCCCACGCGGGTGCAGGGTCCCAAGGCTTTGGACCATCCTCAACTGCTTTCCCAGGACATAAGCAGGGAGTCAGATAGAAAGTGCAACAGCCAGGATACAAACCAGCACCCATATGGGATACTGGCAGACATGAGACGAGATCTCATTTTTAAATTTTTAAAAATGTTTTAGCACCAGAAGCCTTGCCCTCAATATTTTTTTTTGAAAGATATATTGTATGTATTTGAAAGGCACAGTTAGAGAACAGAAAGAGGGAGATACAGGGAAAGAGAGATTGCCCATCTGCTGGTTCACTCCCCAAATGGCCACAACGCGCAGGGCTGGACCAAACAGATGCTGGGAGCCAGAGACCTCTTCTGGGTTTCCCATGTGGATGACAGAGAGGCCCAAGGACTTGGGCCATGTGCTGGGAGCTGGATCAGAAGCAGAGTAGCCAGGACTCACACTGGCACTCATATGGGATGTTAGTTAGCATCACAGGTAGCAGCTTTACCTGTTGCACCACAATGCCAGTCCCCTTACAACATTTCAGAATGAGCCACAGACATCAAAAGATAAAACACAATGATGACATTTCTCATTTGGTTCAACTCTTTACTGAAGAAGAGTCCTAGACTGTCTCCTTAGAAGAATTCCATCTGAAAGGCAGGGAACTAGCTGACCTACAAAGGTCTAGTCTAACATTAACATTCCATGCCCCATCCACCCAACAAATACTTACAAAATGCCTGCTCTGTACCAGGTGCTAGACTAGACAGTGGAGAGTCAATAACAAAAACTATGGGTTCTTTCAAATATTTCTGCCAAAACACAGCATTCAACATGTTTAATATTTACTACATACAACAAGCCAAAAAATGTTAAATACTTCTAGTCTTTTATAGAGTGTAAAAAGCAAAAAAAATTTCCCCAAAGTGCTCACATCATTTTCTCTAACCAAAATTTCAATGAATGTCTTAAGTAGGAATTTATCCATTTACACTGCTACCTTCCAAATCATTTTAATGCCAATTCCTCAGTCACACATCCTGTATTTGCATTAGTAGTTACTGGCTGGGCCCGGCGCAGTGGCACAGTGGTTAAGGTCCTCGCCTTGCACACCCGGGATCCCATATGGGCACCGGTTCTATCCCTGCGGCCCCGCTTCCCATCCAGCTCCCTGCCTGTGGCCCAGGAAAGCAGTTGAGGACGGCCCAAAGCTTTGGGACCCTGCACCCGCGTGGGAGACCCAGAAGAGGCTCCTGGCTTAGGATCGGCATAGCATCGGCCGTTGTGCTCACTTGGGGAGTGAATCATCGGACGGAAGATCTTCCTCTCTGTCCCTCCTCTGTGTATATCCGCCTTTCCAATAAAAAAATAATAAAAATAAATCTTTAAAAAAAAAGTAGTTACTGGCTAAAACCCAGTATTTCTTTCACTATCTATTTCATTCTACAAAAATTTCAGACACACGACTAAATGTGCAAGGCATTCTGTTATAAAGTAGTACAGAAGCTCTATTCACATCTTCTTCCCTTTACATTCTTTTTAACAACATTTTTCATGACTTTCAAACACGACATTTTGCTATACATCAGTTTGTTTTTTAAAGATATATATATATTTGAAGGGCAGAGAGACAGAGAAAAGAGGAGTGATAACCCATTCGTATGTTTGCTCCCCAAATTCCTGTATCAGCAGGGGTTTGGCCAAGTCTCCAATCAAGTTGGTAGGAACCCAAAACATGAGTCATCACCTGCAGCCCCCTGGAGTTCACACTGGCAGGGAGCTGCAATGGATGGCAGAGCCACAGCTGATCCGGGCAAAACTGATCTGAGCTGCAGGCATCCCAAGCAGCATTTGTGAGAACTTGTTTGGAAGTTTTGGCAAGGGAACGCAGCTACTCGTATACCCTTGACTGAAGACCGGTCCTTCTCTAGCAGGGATGGTCGTCCTCTTAGACCTAGCACTCAGCTTCAGGAGGGACGCACATGGAGCGGTGAGGGAGGAAGGGGAAACCAGCCTAGCCAACCAGATCAACCCTGGCGATCAATGGGGTGACAGATGTTGCAGCCAGATCGCCCTCACATCCCCAAGCATCATTTGTATCATGGCACCGAATATCCACACTGCCTCTTGAATTCTTTACTTTTGATTCCCCTTAAAGTTTAGTGTAGCAAGAATAAGATTTCCCCAAAGTCTCCCAATCTAGAATGCTTTATCCTGCGCTCCTCATACACACTATATCCTATTCACTCATTCAACCAAAAGCATAGCACTAGTCACTGCAATGGGTGCTGGAAATAAAAATGTGATTCCCTCTCTCAAGGAATCAACAGAAAGGTACAGATAGCACAAACATTTCAGCAAACAAGTCTACAAGACTTAGTGTCATTAGAAATATTAAAAAAATAATCATCATCATCCTTAGCTTAATGCTAAAAGATGAAAGAAAGGCCAGCATTGTGACATAGCAGGTTAAGCCATCACTTAGGACCCCTACATTCCATATTGACACCAGTTCTCTTACTAATAGGGTCCAATGTCAGTGGGGTGACAGTGTATGTAGACTTCTCTAAATGACCACATGAGACAACTCTAAGACACAAACTGAGCATTGCTAGGGATGATCCTTCCTTTTTCCTTATGTTTGGAACAGAGGCACAGGCTAGGGAGGAAGCAGCCCTCTTGTACCCATGGGACAATAAGCATCAAGTCAAAAGTCATGTGCAAAGATTCAGAGTACAAAAAACCTGAAGCACAGTTATAATTATGTTGCTGTTGTACCAGCCCTATTTTCAGATCATTTTTTGAGGGTTTACTTACTTATTTACTTATTGTTTTTCATCTACTTGGCAGAGTGAAGGTGAGAGAGAAACTCATTCCCATCCACTATATCACTCTCCAAATACCTGCAACAGCCAAGGCTAGGCCATGCTGAAGGCAAGAACTCCATGTGGGTCTGCCATCATGGGTGGCATTAACCCATAACCATTAACTCATCATCCTCTGCTCCCCGGGACACATTAGCAAAAAACAGAATCATAAGAAGAGAAGCCTCAAGTCCAACTGGCACTCTGATATGGGATGCAGATAACCTGTTGCACCACATGCCCACTCCTCCTCCTTATAGCTTTGGTTGGGGGAAAAACAAGAAATCCTTCTTTAGTGAAGTTAGTTGTAGGCTAAATACAGTCCTCATTTATACACTTGACATCTCTTATAAAGATCAGGATATTTAACACTGCATATATGACCCTTCATGAGCAGCTCCGGTTACCTTCCCAACCTCATTTATGCCAAGCCTGTCCCATACTTCCCACTCCAATAACTCTAATCCCTGTCAAAACAGTACACATCAGTGGATTCTGTAACGTTCTGGATCTGGTTCATCACCCAATGGCTCCTGTGTTGAAATGTTTGATCTTTAGTGTAGCAGTGAGAGGTGAGAGATTTTTAGGCAGTGAAGCACAAGGGCCTTAGTTCACTGGGAACATGCCCCAAGAGAGACTGGGAGCCTGGTCTGACTTCCTGTCTTCTTTCTGTGACAGCTTGCTCCCATACCTGCACAGTGGTGACATATCTGCACAAGGTCCTCACCAGAAGCCAACTTCAAGGGACTGCAGGAACGTGGGCTTTTAACCTTCCCCAAACTGAGTTAAACAATCTTCCTTCCATTATGAAGTTAGCCTGCCTCAGGTATTTTGTAGCGTAATGAGAAGTTAACAGCTGCTTTTCACTTTGTATTTATAAAAGCAGCTGTTTTTTACTTTGTATTTATAATTTTCTTTACTATCTTTTTACCCCTCAATTTCTTCCCCAAATTAACTTCCTCAGCATTCCAGACTTCCCACCTTACCCAGTTGTGCAGCGTGCCCAACTTCTCACTGGCACTACATCACTCCAACACTATGGTAGCTATGCTATATTAGAGCTACTTGCTTATGCATCTATCTTCCCAGTTCTACCATCAGTCCCTCAAGAAGCAAAACTGTCATTCAGCTATTTGGTATTCTAAGATCCTGACATAATACCTTACCTTGTAGAGGTGCTCAGTAAATGTTTATATGGATGAATCATACACATTTACACAAAACATAACTTCTAATTAGTAGAAATTGTTATATAACAGATATCAAAGGACTCTAACACCAAAAAAATTACTTCAGTATTTCCTTCACATGTGCCTTTAGGTTATAACATAATGTTTAGTTTTGATGCAAAGAATTTTAAGTCCAAAAGGCCACACTACAAAGTTGTCCCTTACCTTCTTTAAAGGATTAGTCTTACTTTCAACATGATCTCACAAAATTAAACAGATGGCTAAAAAAAAATTATTTTTTATTAGCAAACTAATCAGTAACAGTAAACAAAGAAATGACTTTTCCCCATACCTGTCACACTGCTGCATTATGGAAATTTCTTTAATTATTTCCTGAAGGTCAGACTCCACAGGTACTTGTTTAATTGCAACAACTTGTCCAGATTCCTTATGAATTGCTTTAAATACACTTCCATAAGACCTAAAAAAAAAAAACACTTCCTGAGTATTATGTAGAAAGTCTACCAAGAGTTGTGTGTAGTCTTTTCTATTTCAAAATACCATGTAATTGGTAAAAAAAAAAAAATCAAAGTAAATAAATTAGAAAAGTTAATGAATTATAGTTTCACTACTTCCAATAAACTAAAAATCATCAGGGTAATACATATTAACTTAGTCTTTCACTTATGAATGAAATACTTATAATTTGTGAACTCAAATAAATGCAGCATTAAATAAGATGGGAACTAAAAGAATGAAAAGTAGACTAAAAACAGCCAAAGTCTCAAGTTAGCACAAAAGGCTGATGTCAAGCAAAATAATCCCCAGAACACCAACGCCTTTCCCTGTCCAGAGTTCTTAAGGTCAACTGGAACCCTCAGCTGGGCACAGCGTAACACCTGAGTGACAGAGCGGGGAATCTGCAGCTAGCTGGCTCCCCCTGAGTTACAGACCCCAGCTCTTCCAACGTTTCTTTCAGTATCTTCTCCTCAAGAGAAAGATCATACACTGGCAAGTAAATAAAACATGGAATTGCTCCGAATGGCTGCTTGCCCCACAATTATCTGCTACAGCCCCTAAAACTTGTCCAATGAAATAGTCATATCTTAAAAAGCAAAAACAATGAGGAAACCATTTCTTACTTTAACATGAATTAGAAAGCAAGGTTTTAAAAAACTACCATATATATTGAACCCTTATTATGAACCAGAAACTATGCTAGGTGTTTTACATGTATTAGCAAATCCAGCACTCTCAATGGTGAGGAAAAATACTAAGATTATCAACATAATACAAGAAAACTGAGATTAAGATACAAGTTCAAATTGCAAGCTCATTCTGATTCCAAAGAATGTGCTCTTCTCAGTATACTGTATCTACAGAAGAAGCCACTGGAAGGCATATGTTTCTTACACTAGGAATCTACGTAGAATCACTTTCAAATGTACAACCTTTCAATATGAGTAATAAAGTAGCCACTTCAACAACATGAATTCTATCTTATCCCCTATCACTTTGAGTTCTCTGAAGGAATTTAATCCAGTTTTCTACCCAAAGTCATCTTGGAGAGGAGCAGTGCCCTCTGTGTGTGTGGGTATGTGTGTGCGTGTGTGAATGTGCGTGTTTCCTTCTAAAGCCATGTGTACCTGCATGTTCCTTCAATGGCCAATACAGAATTCAGGGTCAGATTACCTACAAGGATCACCACCCACACCTGCACTGCAGAAGAGAAGCAAGGAAGCCCATTTCTTAGAATTCCTTTTCACAATTAAGAATTTTACAGTGCAAAGAACATGTATGAGAGTCATTATCACTCTGCGGGTGTGTTTATAACGCACGCACTGGCAGACATGAGAGGCACAGTAGCTTCTTGGTCAACTTCCGAGACAGTCAGCAGGAGTTCCTCACAGGTGCTTCGGGATTCCAGCACACTCCCAGAGCTTTGGAGAAACTCCACTTCAGCTGAGCTCTTCAGCGCGGGTTTGTCCCACTGTCAGCAGCAGCTGCTTCAATAACCTTTGTACCACTTGGCCTTCCACAACACATCTGAGCTCCTGAAACTCCTCATTCATTTTCAAGAGTATACAGAGTAGCTTTCTCTTTTCCTAACCAGACCCGCTTCAAATCTAGATTTTTGTAGAGGAGGTGGTTCTGAGGGAAAGAAACTTAAAGGTGAGAATCTTGAATTAGTTCTTTCCTAGGTTTGAAATCGGTAGAATAGCAGACAGGAACACTGATAGCCTGAAGTATTCAGGGGCCAATGAGTTACTTAAATTACCATCCCTAATTGTCTCAAGTCTAGACAGAGCTTCAGGAGACCAAGTGACTGCATTGAGAGAGTTTTTGGTGAACAGAGAGAGCAGGGAATACAGGATGGGCTGCTGCCTCTGTCAGTGCTGGAAAATTATACAGCCGATGTAACAATCTCAAGACTTCAAAGTTCAGCTCATCTTCTGAATGTCCCAGATGAACTTCTTCATTCTTTAATTTCTTACAGAGCTGAGACTTCTAAAAAAGCACTCACAATTGAATCCATACTAGCAGATTAATTTCTATTGCCAACTTAATTCACAGCATCACCAGATCTGCTAAGCTACACTGAAGGAATTCAACAGCAGAGCAAAATGCCCAGAGTTGTTACTGTGACATTTTTAATAGATTCTCACTAATCTCATTATCCAGAATGCCCAAATCCTAAAAGTTCCCCCTTATAGAAAAAGGAACCCAGAGAAAATTAGCATGACAATGCCTGAATACTCAGCTTTCTCCCTATCATTTTACCGCCATTTATTATTGCTTCCAGACTCACAGTTACACTCACATTCCCACGGACACCATGCTGACATCTGTGATTAGGCAAAAACTTTATTCGAGAATAGCTAGCTACTCTTTACAATTAAAACATGAAAAGGTTTTTGCCAATGCTTATCAGCAGAACCCTACAGAAAATGTGTAGGAATTGTGCCATGGTTTGGATATGTGTGTCCCAAAAATTCATAGGCTCAAAGTATGTTCTCCAGTGTGGCAGTGCAAGCAGATGGTTCAAAAAACACACCTTGCCCCTAAATCCCTCTAACTGTCTCACCATAGGAATTCTCCCTCTTAGAATCTGCTCCTGTCATGTTGTGAAGCAGCCAAGGCGAGGGTCAAATCAATGCAACTGCCCAATCCTGCACTTTCAGCCTCCAGAACTGTGAGGCAAATTTGCCTCTTTATACATCACCCAGCCTCAAGTACTTTGTTACAGCAACAAAAAATGAATGAATACAAATGGATTCCAAAATTTTTAGGAAGAAGGGTATTTATTGATATGAATTCAAACCTAGAAATACCAGACTCAGTGCACTGGCTCAGTCAACCACGACCCTTACAGTTTACTTACCTACTTAATTGAAACGTGGATGTAACAGTGGCCTGTGTTAACCGAGATGTCAAACAATCTTCAGTACACAAAGAAGGAAGGCAAACAAAGGCTCAAAAAAATAGAATATTAGAACGGATCTATATTCATGTGCCTTGCTTTGCCACTCCCTATGTTTACAGAGAAGGTCCAGAGGGCACTAGCATCAGAGAAAGCTCTACAACACAGGACATAGAACAGCAACAGACGATAGGATTCTAAGACAAGAGCAACAGCAACATGTATCAACCTGAGATAAGTAGATACGCTTTTTATTTTTATTTTTAAGATTTTAATAATTTTTATTGGAAAGGCAGATAAGATTTACAGAGAGAAGGAGAGACAGGGAGAAAATCTTTCACCCACTGGTTCGCCCCCTAAGTGGCACAATGGCCAGAGTGAGCTGATCTGAAGCCAGGAGCTTATGGGGCTCCCATACGCAGGTACAGGGTCCCAAGGTTTGGGGCCATCCTCTACTGCTTTCCCAGGCCACAGGCAGGGAGCTGGAACGGAAGTGGAACAGCTGAGACATGAACCAGTGCCCATATGGGATCCTAGCACTTACAAGGTGAGAATTCAGCCACTATGCTATCACACCAGGCCCAGTGGATATGGTTTTCATATTGAGAATCAAGGTAAAACTGAATTACAATTTTCTTTCTTGTGTATCTAAGGCTTGATATTGAAGTTTTCATGACTTCAGAGCCAGCACTGTTGTACAGCACGTTAAATTGCCACTTGTAATGTCTATATTCCATATCAGTACACTGGCTCAAGTCCTAGCTACTTGGCTTCCAAACCCACTCTCAGCTAATGCATCAGAAAAAGCAATAGATGATGCTTAGGCCTCTGCCACCTCTTTGAGAGATCAGGATAGAGTTTCTGGCTCCTGGTTTAGTCTGGCCTAGCCCCCAAATGTTATAGCCATTTGAGCAGTGAACCAGCAAGTGGAAGATGTCTTCTGTCTCTGCTTCTCCCTCTCTCTCTATCACACTTTAAAATAAATCTTTAAAAAATATTACAAAGGGGCCCGGCGCGGTGGCGCAACTGGTTAAAGGTCCTCGCCTTGCACGCCCGGGATCCCATATGGGCGCCGGTTCTAATCCCGGCAGCCCCGCTTCCCTTCCAGCTCCCTGCCTGTGGCCTGGGAAAGCAGTCGAGGACGGCCCAAAGCTTTGGGACCCTGCACCCGCGTGGGAGACCCGGAAGAGGCTCCTGGCTTAGGATCGGCATAGCATCGACCGTTGCGCTCACTTGGGGAGTGAATCATCAGACAGAAGATCTTCCTCTTTCTCTCTCCTCTCTCTGTATATCCGCCTTTCCAATGAAAAAATAATAAAAATAAATCTTTAAAAAAATATATTACAAAGTAAAACAAATTATGTTGGCTTTTTAATAACAACTACAATTATTTATCCTTTATAAAAATTGGATAAAATTTATCTGAGTGGGAAGGGGATAGTAGTACCATGATACAGCAGATAAAGCCACCTCCTGCAGCTCAAGCATCGCATATAGATGCCACTTCAAGCCCAGGCTGCTGCATTTCTGATCCTGCTCCCTGCTAGCGAGCCTGGAAAAGCAGCAGATGGCACAGGTGCTTGAGCCCAGATGAAGCTCCCATACCTTGCTCTGTTCAGATGAAATTTTTCTCTACCATTGTTCGGAAGCTGTGTCATTACTCCTCTGCCTATACATACTGGTTTTCTCATAGAGACATACTATTCACTCTTACTATTTTACCTCTTCCCAAGTAAGATGGGTCCTAAGTCCTGTAAAGATCTTCCATGCTTACTAGCTTACTATGAGAATGTCAGACGGAACAAAGTAAACCACCTGGAGATCATTTCAAACACTCCATCTCTTACTTTTCCCGAATGTACATGTCCTTCTTTGGAAAAAACACTATTACCAGCCCTAGCACAATATAATCTTCAATTTTCCATACTAACACCGAAATTTCATTACTGTAACTATTCAACTTGAACAAATATACTCTAGTTGAAAGATTAATCTCATACAGATTTTTGAATTATTTTATCATTACTTACCCTTCTCCAAGTTTCTCTAATACATCAAAAACTTCTTCAGGTTGCTTAGTCAAACTGTCTTCACTCAGCTTTTTCAGCTTACTGTTCAGAAATTTAAAAAAAAGAAAGATTTTAAGTCTCATAACAAGATTTCTGTTTTAAAAGGCAAAACGCCATGGGGGGAAGGTTGGGGGAGGGGTAAGGAGAATCCCAATGCCTACAACTGTGTCACATACGCAATGTAATAATAAAAAAAAAGGCAATATGTTCATATGACTCAAAAATAAAGCAATATGCAAAGCTATACAGTAAACAGGCTGCCCTCAACTCCTACTTCTCATGCACAGCATCACCTCTACACTTTATTACTCTCTATCTAAACCTTCACATAAACAAGTTCTTTTTACACACAAACATGAACATATTCTTAAATGTCAGCCATTCCCTTTGTAATACAGGACAGCATTTTGTACACACTCTTCTTTCTTTATACATGAATAATGCATAGCCCTATGTGGGAGTTTTTAGACCAGAGCAGAGTTACATTTTTTTATAGCTACATCCTACTCTATTATAGAGATGCAGCATATCTTACTTGCCCCATCTTTTACTTACCGATGTCTAGGTTAATTACTTAGATAATATTGTTACAACGAGTACCAATATAGATAAGTCGATTCACACACAGCTAATATATTTGTAGGGTAAATTCCAGAAGTGAAACTATGTCGAGGAAACACATACATAATACATGTGCATGCATACAAACATGAAAGCAATTGTAGTTTAAAACTTAGAAGAAATAGAAGTCATTATGTTCTTAGAATTACGTATCTAGGGGCTAGCATTGTGTCATGGCAAATAAAGCTACCACCTGCAATGCCAGTATTTCTTCCAGTATATCCTCCAATTCAGCATCCTACTAATGAAAAGCATAGAAGATGGCCCAAGCCCTTAGGCTCCAGTCACCCACACAGAAGACCTAGAAGAAGCTCCCAGCTTCTGGCTTCAGACAAGATGCATGTGGGAAGTGAATCAGTGAATGGAAGGCTAGGTTTTTGCCCCTACTGAGTCATGTGTGAGCTGTGTTTGGGTATGGACAAGCCTTAGCTGGGCTGAAACATCCAACAGTAAGAACCAGATTGGGTTGAAGGCCAGTCAAGAAAGGCCATTGTTCCTACTAGGACAGGAGGTGGACTGAGTAGGGCTGACTCGTGGACCCACCAATATGTGTGAAATCTGGCACTGGGAGAAGTTCTGATGGAGGAGCCTGGGCAACTCCTCTGGCAGGACACAGTCCCTGCAGGTAAGCGCAAAAAGCATGATAAGGAACAACTCAGGCCAGGCCATGGAAAGGTACCCACTGGCATACATTTGGCACAGGTCGGGGGCAGACCAGGCTGAACCAGTTCACATTTCCCGCTGGCGAATCCAAGCATTAGAACAGAGTGTGAGTCGGGCCAGGTTCAGTCGTGACACAAACCACTGCACATTATGGAATGCCAAGGTGAGTTGAGCCGTACCAGATGTGGCCTCAGATCCCAGCCAGCACACGTGAGAACCAGGGAGGGAGGGAACAACGCCAGCAGGGTTAATGTGAACTCCCCTGCTGGACAGCCACTCCCACTGGAGAGTGTGAGTTGGGATGGGGGCAGACAGACCAGGCAGGAAAACAATACCTATGGGCCTCATGAGCTGCATCAGGGAGGGGCCAGGTTGGGCTGATTGTTCCAACTAAAACAAGCAAAAATTAGGGTAGGTGAGGGTTGGTTGGGCTTTGCTGCAGCATCAGCTGGCAGAGGCTGGCGCTGGTGGCTAATCTGTCAAGTTAAACTCCAGAATCACCTGAAGAGTGCATGATCCAGGAGAGGCCTAGAAGGGAAATAGTGGGCTCCTCCCTCTTGGATTACCACTCCCATTGCAGAGCACAAAGACCAGGACATGGGCAGGAGTGTCTAGACATAGAGGTACCTACCAGCATGTGTATGGGCTGGATAGTGGAGCTAGTTAGGTTGAACTAGGCTTCAATGCCCATTGACATGTAGAAGAGCTGAATGGGATGTGGGACAGACTGAACTAGTCTGCTGTACATATTGGCAAGCATGGGAACCAGGGCAGTGGGCAGGCCTGGTGGGGGTTACTGTGGGTCACTCTGACTAGGCTGCAGTTCCCACTGGTTTAAGTGAAGGCTGAGTATGTGCTGGGCAGAATCAGGCTGAACTGCAACACCCATTGGTTCCAGTGGAAGATAGGGCTGCAGGCAGAACCAACCCAGCAATTGCAAACACCAGCTGATCGGGTCGATGGACTGTACCGGGCCCTGTACTTGCAAGTACACACAAGAATCTGCTCTGGGATCACCTCAGACCAAGTTTCTTTTGGGGTCTTCCCATTCGAACTGCTGGACTAAGAACCCTAACCATGAAGAGAAGTACAGGTTCCATGGTCTGACCATGGAGTGCAAGTGCCAGAGCCGAGCCTCTTAAATGGCTTAGATGGAGCAGTAGACAGCATATCCAGGTGCACATGGAGGATATGGCAGTCCTTCGAACCTGCAAGAGGACACCTGGTACTACAACAGAGAAAGAGGACAGAACAAATCAATCAACTACACTTGCCATGTGTTGGCAGTGAAAATCTGGGCAAACAGAGACTCTAAGGTGGACTGTGGCAACCAGTGGATCATGCAGTGACCTCACTGTGCTTGAAATGGTGGGATTGCAGCAATTCATAACTGCTGAACTATCAAAACCACTTCAGCAAGATCCTCAGAGGATGCCCCACATCAGGGACCTGGGATGGGTGGGAGACTGGGTGGGGCTGCTCCCTTTATCTCCCGCTTTACCACAGACACAGAAAAAAAAATGTGGAAATAGTCTCACCCACTTTCCTGTAGCCCTTGAACCTTTGTGCCCTAATGTAAAGATTGTCAAAAATAAAGAAAAAAAATGGAAAAAAAATACAATTATCACGTGATCCAGCAATCCCACTTCTGAATATATATCCAACACAATTCATGGCAAAATTTCCCTGAGATAAATGCACACAAATGTTGAGAACAGCATTACTCACATAGCCATCTGGTAGCAACAACTAACTAACACATGAATAAAGAACATATACGCATCAGGAAATACTATGAAGCCTATAGAAAAGAATCCAGTCACATGTTCAGGAAAATGAGCCAGACAAAAAAGTACAGTATGAAAGTTCATCCACACAAAGTATCTGAAATAGTCCAAACCAGTCATTGAAACAGAAAGTAAAAAGGTGACTGCTAACAGCTAAGAGATAAAGGGAGGAAAAATGAGTGTTTAGTGATACTACAATAGATATCACTATATAGAGTTCTACTTTCATAAGATGAAAAAGGTCCAGAGATGTGTTGCACCACAATGTGAATGTCCTTAAACACATCGAGGCCAGGGGATTGCTCAACTGGTCAATCCTCAGCCTTGCCGTACCAGTACCTCATATGGACACCAGCTCATGTTTCAGGTACTCCACCAAGCATCCAGCTCCCTGCTGTGGCCTTGGAAAGCAGTGGAGGATAGCCCAAAGCCTTGGAACCCTGCACCCACAGGGGAGATCTGGAAGAAGTTGCTGGTTCCTGGCTTCGGATTGGCTCAGCTGCAGACACTGCAGCCATCTGGGGAGTGAACCAACAGATGGAAGATCTTTCTCTTTGTCTCTCCTTCTCTCTGTAAATCTGCCTTTCCGATAAAGATTTCTAAAACAAAAATTAAATATATATTTGAAAATTAGATGGAGGTAGGCATCTGGCCTGGCAGTTAAGACATCTGTATTCCACACCTGATTACCTGGTTTCCAACCCAACTTTTGTTTTTGGCTCTAGGTTTCCTGCTAATGCAGACCCTAGGAGACAGTGGTGATGGCTCAAGTGACTGAGTTCCCACCAGCCACCTGAATTGGGTTCTCAGCTCCAGGTGTTGGCTCCTTGCCTGGCCCAGTAGGCTAGGGTCATTGCAGGCATTCAAGAAGTGAGTCAACAATGGTAGCTCACCATCTATGTGTCTTGCACACTATCCCACTTTCTCTCTCCTTCTCATATAAATAAAAACTTAAAAATGAAACAAAATTATTTTGATAAGTTGGATTTTTTTACTACAATTATTCTTAAAATAAAACTGACTAGGTAAACCAAACACAAGATCATCCTGTGAGGTTAATAACTGCACAGGAGAAGACATTTGGCATAGTAACTTAAGCCCACCCCCAGGAAACCCACATCCCCTCTCAGAATGCCTAGGTCTAAGTCCTAGCTACACTTCCAACTCTAGCTTCCTGTTAGAAGATGGCTTAAGTCCTTGAGTCCCTGTTGCCCACAAGAGACATGGATGAAATCCCATGCTCCTAGCTTTCAGCTATCCCAACTCTGGGTGATGTAGGCATTTAGGAAGTAAGCCAGCCAATGGAAGATTTATCTTTCTCTCTGCCCATCTCTGGCTCTGTGCCTTTAAAAAAATAATAATAATTAATGTTTTTAGAGTTCATGGAAAACCTCAAATTACCTTTAAAAGAAGCAAATGAATTAGTACAAGTAAATCAAAACACAAAGTAAGCCAAAAGAAAAGAGGTGAACAATAAAAGCATACTGCCACAAAGGTCTGAGATTAAGTAATTTGTTATTATTTGAAGATTTTTGATAGATATTGCAAAGCTCAAAATAATAAACAAAAAGTTTAGTTATTAAAACAATAGCAGAAATAGACAGAAAAAAATAATAAGTTAATCCCAAAAAAAGCAGGACAAGGAGGAAAGAAATGGGACAAAAGATAGTCAGATGGTAGATTCAAGCCAAACTACATATCAGAAGACCCTCTCTTCTCACTGTGGTGATATGATGAGCCTGGCAGATCCCTCTCACACAGAGAAAGAAGTATAGGCACATTTTGTCAAAACTCACTAAATTATATACTTAGAGAACTGAACTTCATTACAAGTAAGTTTTTATCAATTATTTTTCTCTAAAACCTCAGCATGATCTTCTAATGGGAATTGAGAAGCATTCTAAAATTCACATGAAAATGTAAAAGAACAGGAACAACCAAATATAATTTTGAGAAACATGAACAATATTA